CATTCCGGCCAGCCCCCTCCCCAAGACCCCCCCTTCCCCGGCCCCCCTCTCAGCTCCTTCGGGCCCGGCGGAGCGGCCCGGCCGGAGCGCCCCCCCGAGCTCGGACCAGGTAAGCCGGGCGGACGCCGGGAGGAGGCCCTGCTGGGAGAGGTGGTTTGGTTGGCTGGTTCTGGATTGGGGGGGGGCCCTCGAGGGGGGCTGGGTCCCCGAGCTATTGTCCAGCTTGAGCCTGAGCCCCAGATCTGGGTGCCGGGAAGTTTAGAGGGAAAGGGGGGGGGAAGCTCTCCGGGAAGCCCCGCCCACCCCTCCCACCCCCACCCCCCCGCGACCCGGACGAGTTGGTCGGGGGAGGTCGGGGAGCCGGGATATTGTCCCCGGTGCCATCGCCTGTCCCAACGTACGCGTTTGGGGTGTCGAGGCAGGGGTCTGGGGGCCGCACGGTTTCGGGGCCCTGCCACCGGGGAGATTCTACCCGGGACTCCCACTCCCGGGCCCCGCCGCCCTTTGGACTCCCGGCTCGCGCTCTCTCGAAGCCGGCCCGGCCCCAGCTCCACGCAGGCCTCGGGCCCGGCCTCCCGGCGCCCAGGCCGGCTCCTGCGCGCGGTGCCTGTGGCTGCGCCGGATTGTGGAGTGTGTCTGGGAGCAGAGCTGCGCGCCCCGGGCGTGTGCCCCCTGAGAGGCAGGGGCTTAAGCTCCTTCCAGTTCTGCCGCCCCTCTTGGGGTGGAGGTTCGGAGTTCCAGACCAGGGCTCTAGGAGCCTGGCTCCAAAGAGGGCTGGCTTTGGGGCCTTATTTTCGCCACACTTCCTTAGAGCCCGTGTTTAGACTTTAGAGGGTTTGAAGGAGGCTTGTCCCCACCACTACCATCACCACTATTGTCTGTCCTGCCCTTTACTCCCGCCTGGGGAGGGAGGGCCAGGAGTGCCTGTCTGCATCTGGTTTTCAGCTAGCCAGGCCCCAGGGCAGTGTCCCTGAGACCCCACTCTCACCTTTTTGGGAGAGTGGCCCTGTTCCAGGGCTCAGAGATTCTTTCTGGACAAGAGGGAATGAGGCCTTGGGGGAGGGCTTCTCAGGGGGCACCTCCCTCTGTGCTGTCTCTCTCTCCAGGTAGAGGCAGAACCAGGTCAGGCCTGGACTTGTAGTCCAGGAAAGCAGGGGATGGGGGTAGGGACTGGACACAGCTCTAGGGGCTGGAACCCATGGCGGCTCTGTGTATCCTGTCTCCTGTGGCCTGGTTCTGTGTATACATGTTTCACCCCAGTGCAGGGAGCCGGGACATCTCCTTGGCTAGAATGTCAGGGGCAGCCTGGGGCAAAGAGGAAATCCAAAGTCCCCCCAGAGTTGGACATTTAGGGGGATTATGTGCTCCTCCCTTCTAGATTCTTGTAGCTCCTTTTCCAAGACCCTCGCCCAGGAGGGTGTCATTCCAGGACATGGTTCTGCAGTCTTCTGGATCCCTGCTCACCCTGTGGGCAGGGAATGGACAGATATATGTTCTAGGAACAGGCTGGCTGGTGAGGGTGACTTCAGGGGCCCTGGATGCCCCCTCCTCAGGGAGAGGCTAAGAGCTGATGGGATTCTCAACTTCATGATCCTTCCCCCATCCCCCTAGGGAGGGAACAATAATTAATGCTAATTAGTGCACTGGGGCTGGGGACTGGCTCAGTAGGATGGTCAGTGATTGGCAGGACAGAGCTGTGTGTGTGTGTGTCCCCATATCTATCTGTCTCTGTGCTCCCACCCTCGCACTCAGGATTGTGGACCCTTTGTATTCTGCCAGTTGAGGAAATATTAGAACCAGAAGGGGTCATCTCAAAGAGGAGGTCAAGAAATAAGAGATGTGGTCCCAGCTGGGCCTTTAACCACCTGTGTCATCTTGGGCCTCAGTTTCCCTGCTCAGAATAAATGACTTCTCGGGTCCCTTGTCTCTGAGCTCCTTCCGGAGTCTCAGTCTTCTAGTCAGTAGGCCTTCCTCCTTCCATTATGGACTGTGAACCTAGTGAGGTCTGGAGAGGTGAGTGGGTGATCAGTGATCTAGGGAAGAACGTGAGGATGAACCCGGGGGTGACCGAGGAATAGGTAAGGCAGGAGAGAGTGGCTGAGAAGGTTGCAGGCCACAGGCGTCAAGGGACAGGGAAGCCAGGTGGAGCTCGGGGAACTTGCCCTCTGCAGTGGCCCTGGGGTCTGGCAGGGCTGGCCGGGGTGAATTGTGTTGAGAGCTCACGTGGATGGCCTGCCCCTCTGCCTGACTCGCAGACCCCCCGAAGGGCTCAGTGTGGAAGCTGGAAGGGAACCGAAGCTATCAGTCCTGTCCACCTCCTCACTTAGGAAGGGATGAGGAGTGGAGGGGTCCACCCATGGTGAGGAGAGTGGGGAAGGGATCTGGGGTGCCAGACCCCAGGTTGCTGGGGAGCCGTGAGGGCTCTAAATGCTGCAGCTTTCTGTGGTGGTAGCTAGGAGGTCACCGTCTCTTCCCACATGGGGGCTGCAGAAGCTGTGGGGTCCAGGTCTCCGTGGGCGTCTGGGGCCGCCCTGGGGCCATGGCGGGAGCCTCTGTGGTCAGAGGTCAGCAGATCACACTCAGCCCCATCCTCAAGGCCTTGCCCTGCCCTCACCTCTGTCCTGCTGTTGTGCCAGCCTGGGCTTGTCTGCAGGAGAAGTGCTGCCCCTCAGGGGAGGACCCGAGAGGGGAACGGACTTGGCCTGTCCTCACAGGGTCCCGCAGGAGGCTGGAGGCCAGAGAATCCCTGTCCCTGCACAGGTCCCCAAAGCCTCAGCCCTTGAGGTTTCCTAGAGTGCTGATTGTTTCCTGTGCTCCCTGCCAGGCCCGAAAGGACAGGAAGTGATAGAGGGAAATGAGAGTGCAACCGTGTGTGACGCTGGACGTGTGTGAGACAGAAACAGAGTGGGACATTCTGCGTGGGTGACACTGCGTGGGGGGGGTGCGTGTGTGACAGACCCGGCTAAAACCAGTTTGTGTAACTGCATGTGAGGCTGGACTTGCACAGGAGAGCAACTGTGACACTGCCCATGACTTTAGAACACCGGTGTGTGTGACCGATGCTCTATGTACGTGGGAGCCACCACGAGTGACGTCCTCTGTGTGTGTGAGTGAGTGAGTGAGTGAAAGAAGCTGTACACGTGGTCTGTGTGTGTGAGTGGCCATCGCAGGGGACATGATTTCTGAAAGACCAGGAGCTTGAGGCTGGGTCTGACTCTGAGGGGATCCACATGCTCTGCGTGTGTGAGGGACACTGCGATCGTTGGACGCTGCGTGTGTCGGAAGCAGAACGGGTGCCCTTCTGCATGATGTACGGTGCTGTGGTGTGACCACACGTGATACCGTGTGTGTGTGTGTGTGTGTGTGAACAGCGCACGAGGTGGCCTCGGGTTTGCAGGAACTCTGATGGGCTGCGGGAGCAACTGTACATGACACTGTGTAAAACTGGGACAGTATGTGGCGCGTGTGAGGAGCAAGCCCGGTGACACGCTGCTAAGCAGCTGTGTGAGAAGCCGAGTGGGGAAGCCTGAGCTCCAGGCCCTGCCCAGGCAGCCCCGCACGTCGGGGGACCTGTGGGGTGTGACCCAGATGCCGCTGTGGGTGGGCACTCTCTGCGGTTGCTGAGACCAGGGGACAGTGTGGGTGGCAGCCATCAGGGCTGGGCCAGGCATGCTCGGGAGACCGTGTGTGACGAATTTGGGGGCCCATGACCCGATGCCGGGGGCGTCCATGCGGAGGATGGTGTAAAAGATAACCGTTAAAAACAAAGAAGGAAAATACTTAACGCCACTGAATGATGCACTTAAAAATGGTTAAAATGGTAAATTGGATGTAATGTGTGTGTGTTACTACAATAGAAAGTTGAAGAAGGAACAGGATAGGGACTCAGGTCACCGTGGATGTGTGTGGGACGGTGGCTGGGCAAGGGAGTGTGTGTGTGAGCGAGGAGGGCCACGAGGAAGCCTGGGTGTTTGTAGAGGACACTGTGACTCTCGTAGTCGGGGGAGGGGGGGTGGGGGCGTCGGCCGAATGACTGGTTGCAGCTCAGCAGGTGACGCATAATACCAGGGGCCGGGGCACAGGCCACTGAGGCAAGACCCTCGGCGCGTCCGTGGACAACTGTGAAACCCACCTAACCAAGTTACCCATTGGCTGCCGCCCCCCACCCCCAAGCTGGACACCAGGCCTTCGCTGGAGCGGGACAAGAGGAGACAGGGGACGCCTGGCTGGCTTAGTCGGTGGAGTGTGCGACTCTTGATCTCGGGGTCGTGGGTTCAAGTCCCACGTTGGGCACAGAGATTACCGAGTTAAAAAAAAAAAAAAAGATGAGACAGGACAGAGTCCTAGAGTAGGGGTGAAGGGAAGTCCCTCTCCTTCTGCGGAGGTTTGAGGGCTCCGAGACTCTACCTCCCACTCTCCTTACACTGGTGGCGGGGGGCGGGTGACAGTGCGGATGAGCTATGGACGGCCTGCCCCCGCTGATCCCCGGGAAGCCTGTGCCCTGAGTAGTGGGGGTGGGTGGGTGCAGAGAGTCCTGATTCCCAAATTGGAAGCACATTAATAAGCGGGAGAGAGGGGAAGAGGCCTCCCCACCTCCCTCCTAGTGGGCTCTGCAAATTGCTTCCTCCTGTAACAAATCTCTACCCTGCTCCAGGGAGGAGGGTACTCCCTCCCCAGCCTGGCAGGGTGTGGCCGCTTGGCAGGGTCCCTTGGGGGTCCTTATGCTGGAGGCAGACACCATCCCCCTCCTGCCCCCTCTCCAGTCCCAACTGGAGCAGGGCTACTTCTAGGGTGGGAGCCTCTGGCAGCTGGAGAACAGCTGGCCCCGCTGTGGGGGCGGGTGAGAAGGAAGAAGGGAAAGGCAGAGGGGGTGGGGAGGTTCCCTTAGCCCTCATCAGCTGCCCTCCCCATCCTCACCCCCCTCAGAGGGGTCAGCCCAGCCCAGGTTTGGGGGGGTAGATTTGGGATGCAACTGCTGACTTCACTAATCTTCCTGCCTTTTGAGTGGTGTTCTGGCTCCACATGACAGCTCTTGGGGGGCTGTGGTCCCTGCAGGGGTGGGCAGCTGCTGGCCACTAGACCCACGAGGGTCACTGGGCTCAGTTTGTCCTCCCAGTGGGACTGGTATGGAAGGGAGGGTAGCAGGGGGACTTGGGGACGACCCCCACCTGCCTTGACTGGCCTTGAATGCATCCCCATCCAGGGCAGAGGGCTGGGGGAGCCCAAGCATCAGACCAGTCTCCTCCCGTCCCTTGGAAGGGAGGTGTAGGGCCGGGTGGTCTGGAGGCTGCGGGGCCTGGGGGTGGGGGGCGGGGGCCTAGGGCTTGTGCAGCTGCCCAGTGCTGGCCTCCCATCACCCTCCCATCACCGGAGCTGTCCAGCCAGTTATTCCAGCAGTCTGGCCCCAGGGTGGGGAGTGGGCAGTGAGGGGCCCCTTATCTCCCGCCGGGGCCCCAAAGCCTGCTCACCCAGCCTCCTAGCTTCCATCCCTGCCACCACCCAGAGGCACCTTCTGACCTCAGAAGGCTGAGGGTCCTCAAAGAGGGGAAGCAGGAATGGCTGGTCAGATGGAGGATGGAGGCAGAGTGGGCCGCAGCGGGGGTGGGCAGCCTGTGGTAATAACGGGCCTCTGTGGAGGGAGATAGGAGGTGGTCTCGAAGAGGCGGAACAGATGGGACAGGAGTGGGGTGTCCTGGACATGGCCCTATTGTGGCTGACCCCGGCCCCCAGCAGTGGCTTCCCTGACACCCCTTCCTTCTAAGTCTGTCCTGAACTCTGGGCTCTGTTGTTGGCTCATATGCACATACATACTCTCTCTCTCTCTCTCTGTCCCTCTCTCTCGCTCTATCTCTTGCTCTCTCACTGCCCCCCCCCGCCTGACTCTGTCTGACTTTATTGATCTTCCCCCTTCCTGCCCCTTTTACCCCCCTCCCTCAGTGTGTGCCTCCATCTCTCCGGATCTTGGTCTCTGTCTGTCTGGGTCTGTCAGTCATGATTCCTGCCCCAACCGTCTCTGGATCCAACTCTCTCTCTCTCTCTCTCTTTCTCTCTCTCATTCTCACACTCTCCCTGTTCTGTCGGCCTGCCTCTCTCTGGATCTCTCCTCTGGGTCTCACTCCAAGGCTTTGTGGGGGCTTTGTCTCTTCTTCTCTGGGACTCTCCTGTCTCCCTTGTCTGTTTTCCTATCTGCCTGTCAGGGTCTGTCCCCCTCTCTCCACCCCACCCCAGGCTCCACCCCCTCGCCCCTCACTTGGGTCCTCCTCCCCGCACCCCTCTCGGCGGCAGAGGCTCTGGACAGCGGGGATGACGCCCTCCCCGGGCTGGGGCTGCCCGAGCCCCGCATTCGCTCAGGCCAGCCGGCAGCTGTCTGAAGAGCCCGCGGCCCCCACGCTGGGTCCCCCGTGGTGTGAGGGTCTAAGGAGAAGAGGGTGGGCGCGCACCAGTCCCGGTCGTCCCACAGCAGTAACTGGAAGACCAGAGCAGCCAGCGCCAACTCCTGAGCGCCACAGTGGGACAGGGACCCCCGCTCAGCCCCCTGCCTGGTGCCGCTGCCCGCGGGGGCGCCTGGGCCCCGGGGTACGAAAGTTCTCATCTGGGCACCCACAGGCCATACCTGCACACGTGGGCTCCTGTGCATGGCTGTGTGGGGTGGCGGGGTCACCTGTGGGCCCCTGTGCTGGTGCCTCTGCGCGCAGGAGTGTTCCTAGAAAGTGAGTCTTGCATGTGCCTACGGGCCAGGGGAAGGGACGGTGGTCCCACTAGTCTCCTTGACTCGTCCTTGCAGCCGCCCCCTGGGCTCCCCTCCCCCTCCCCAGCTGCCAGCGGTCCCAGCCTGGGGCCGCCGCCCCGCCCCCCCAGTCTGTCCCAGCTCCCAAGCACTGCTGCGTTCGCCATATTTGGCCACAGTGCTCCTGCGGGGGGCGGGGCGGGGCTGACATCACCCCGAGAAGGGGGGGGCCACCGCCTGGAAGAGGGGAGGCGGGCAGGGACTTGGGGGAGGCCGGGAAGTTGCTTTGAAAAGTCTGGGGCTGCCAGGGCCCCCCATGCGCCAGGCCCCTGCTGCTCTGAGGGAGGCCTCAGGAAAGGATTGGGGGGGGGACATGGGTTGAGGACTCTGTTGGGAGGGGTCTTAGAGCACTGTAGCCCCTCTTCTGCCTCCCCTCTGACAGCCTGGGGCAGTATCAGATCTCGGGGGAGGCCCTGCATCTCAACTACCTCAATATGGGAGCCACTGGGCCCCCAGAGTCTCTGCCCCCTCACATCTGTATTCCAAGAACTTGGCCTCAGGAGTTGAGGAGGGGATGGGGCTACAGCTTCCTGGGGGGGAGAGTGGGCTGGGAGTAGAGGAGTGTGGCCCCTTTTCCCTGGTCAGGAGCACGGCTTCCCCTCGCCTGGGCTGCCCTCTGGTGTGGAGAGCTATTCTTCATGGTCTTGGAGGCCTCAGGGCGAGGGCGACAGCCCTGTGGGGGTCCTTGAAGCTGCTCCAGCCACTTGGGCTTGAGGGGAGGCCCCTGGGCTGGACCCCCACTGGGCGGGCTCAGGGTAGTTGCCATGACAGCTGGGCCTCCTTTCTGGCTGCAGGTGGTGAGGCTTCTCAGCTTCATCCCCTGGGTTAGGAGACTGAAGCCAGATTGCCAGGCTCTGAACCCGGCTCTAGCCCTTCCGAGCTGTGTGTCTGACAAGTTGCTTAACCTCTCTGTTCTCTGGTTTCCTCATCTATAAAGTGAGACTAATAATAGTCTCTACCGCATAGGTTATTGTGAGGATTAAATGAGTCAACGTGCACAAAATCCCAGAACAGGGCCTGCCATATGGCAGGTGCTCTCTTTAGAGTAATAGCCTTAACTCTGTTTCCATCTGACGTTTGGGCCCCCTCGGCCCTCCCCATCCCATGCCACTAGCGACCCTCTTCAAGCCTCCCCAGACAAACAGGTGGCCCCACACAGAGGGCCCCTACCCATTTGGCAGGGCCTGGAATTCTTGTCTGAGGGCAAAGAATTCCCTTCCCCAGCTTCAGAGGGGTCTCGCACCCCCTCCACCCTACCTACCCCCTACCCCACCCCAGCTTTCCCTGCAGACTGGAGCAAAGTCTCTGGATCTAGCCATCTTGGGCTCCGAGGCTCCCTGGACATTGGGCATGCAGAGTCTGAAGCTGAAGGGGGTTGGGGATGAGCCTTGGAGCTGTGTGTGTTGGGGGGACTGCCGAGTGTGGTCTCAGTTAATAACCCAGCCTGGCGTGTGCAGGGAACTCAGAGTTTACAGAGTCCTGGCCCATCTGCGATGTGGGCCAGGGCAGGGGCAGGCGTGTGGGTGGTTTACGGGCCGCGGTGGGGCCAGGAGGTGCAGGAACAGGAAGTGGGATGGAGGAGCCGGTGGGGTTGAGCAAGGCTGTGGGCCAGGCACCTTCTCAGCTGCTCCCTTGCCAACCAGCATCATTCCCTCCTTGCGATTCCTGGGGCGGTCCCTGCCCCATGTTTAGGTTCTTTGGCCGGGCTCCTGGGAGTTATCTTTTAGGGAAGTCAAAACCACACCCTTCCTAGGTCCAGGGCCCTTTCCCTCCCACAGCGGGTCTTCAGGAAGGTTGCACTGAGGCTGGGGGGAGAACGAGGAGGGTGAGGGTCCCCAGTTGGGGGCTGCCGATGGCAGGAGGAAGAGCTGCAGAAACACCCAGCAGGCCCCCTCCTCTTCTCATCGCCGCATGACTGCGAGCCTCAGTGTCCCATCTGAATAATGGGTATCACTCCTCGCCCTCCTTGCCTTAGTTTTGAGGATTAAGTGAGTATGAACATGCTTTTCGCCCACAAAAGTGCCTTGTAGATATGAGGTGTTATTGTTGTTACTGATCACCACCGGTCCTATGTCTTGAGTGTTACGAGCCAGGCATTGTGGTTGGTCCTTTGTCGTGATCTCATTTAATTTTAACCCTCACGACCTCAAGGAGACCTTTTCCCTCATCTTATGGGACCGAAGCTCAGAGGTGAGGTAGCTCATTTAAGGCTGCACAGCACTGAGTAAGTATACCCCTTCCTCCCCCCCAGCCCCTGCCCCCTGGTGGGAGACGGCTCCGGTCTAGGAGAGCCCTGGCCCTAACCCGTCTGTGCCTGCCCCGCAGGCCCCGGCTGCCCAGTGGGCTCAGGCCCAGAGCCCAGAGCAACCAGCACGATAGCGTCCAGCAGCTGGAATGCCAGCAGCAGCCCCGGGGAGGCCCGGGAGGACGGGCCCGAGGGCCTGGACAAGGGGCTGGACAACGACGCAGAGGGCGTGTGGAGCCCCGACATCGAGCAGAGCTTCCAGGAGGCCCTGGCCATCTACCCGCCCTGCGGCCGCCGCAAGATCATCCTGTCAGACGAGGGCAAGATGTACGGTGCGTGTGGGGAGACACGGGGACACTGGATGGACTGGGGGAGGCGGCCTGGCCCTCCCGGGCCCCGCCCCCCGCTCTCTGCCCCCTCACCCAACCGGTTTGGCGAAGTCCTGCGAGCCCGCCAGCCCGCCAGCCCGCCACGGGCGAGTCTGGGCGTGTGAGCCTGTGTGTCTGGATCCTCCTCATAAACAAGCCAGGCTTGCCCCCTCCACCAGATTGGGGCCCACACCTCAACACCGCCGTCTGCTCCACCTCTTTCCCCCTGCTGGCCTGCGGGTTTCAGGGTGACTCAGTGGACACAGGAAACTGGGTCAGTGCCGGGTGCTCCAGGCCAGGCCTGGGAGAGGGTCCCCCCTACATGTGGGGAAGCCCGAGGGGTGAGACCCGGGGTGTCCTACTGGCGAGTTCCGTCCAGTGCATGGGTATGGGGCGGGGGGGCCGCGCTGTGACAAGGGCCTGTGTTAGGAAGGGGGCTGGAGAGACATGGGGACTCCTTCATTCCTCAGACCCTTCAACACCCCCCCGCCCCCCCGCCAAGTCTCTCCTGCTCTCCTGGCCCGCTCTCTGCCACCTTGCCCATCTCCTGCCCCCAGAAGGGAGTGTCCCCCTCTTGTCCAGCCCTGAGAGGGCTCTCCCAGAGCTGCATTTTTGGGATAACTCAACCCTTCTGGGCCTGGCTCCTTTCCAGCTCCCTCCAACCCTCCCTGACAGCCTATGGCTGAGTGAGGCAGGCCCTCGGCCCGTCCCATCCCAGCGGCCAGTACCATGGCGGGGTGCGGGAAGGAGACAGCTGGGCCAAGTGGTAAGGGCTGCCGTGTCCCCTGTCCCCAGCCACTGTGCCACGCCCATCCCTCGACCCGGAGCCCCCTCACGCACGGGGCAGGCAGATGTCCCAGGGTGTTTCCCCCACAGCTACCTCCCAGATGGCCAGGGGCAGCCCCACAGGGTATGTTTAGACAGGGCGGAGGGAGTGGGGTGGAGAGGGGCAGGCAGGAAGGGAGGAGCAGTGGGGCTGGTTCTGTCATGGAAGAGGAATCCGGAGAATGTGGCCCTTCTGGGGAGGTTGTGGGGTTGTGGGGCTGGGGGCCTGGACTGGGGGGATAAAGGTGTTGGCTCAGCATCTGTCAGCATCTCACAGGGCAGGAGAGACACTGGTAACCTGGGACATGGGGGTGACAGGCTCAGGGACACAATGATGGGCTTGAGGACATCCCAACACAGGTCGTCCGTGTGGGGGGTGTGCTGGAGACCACTGGGTCCTTCCTGCCCATTTCGCCAGAGAAGGGAGGGGACTTGTCCAGGGTCTCCCCTTATGGCAAGGACAGCTAGGATAGGAAGCCACCTTCCAGACTCCCATGGGGACGTGTGCGGGGCCGGGTGCCACCCGTGGCAGGCCTCGCTCACACACGAATACTTACACTTAAAGATTTGGAACAGGCGTCACGCATGGGGAGGAAGGAGGTGCTGCCAGGGCTAGGAGTGGGGCTAGGAGTGGGGTAGGGGTGAGCGGTCCAGCTGCCCTGCTGCCCCGTGGCCACACCTGCCCCCATCTGTGTGCAGGGAAACCTGTTGGGCCCCCTGACCTTGTCCCCTCCCACCCTGCTGCCCCCTACTCACACCTCCCCCAACCAGCAGGCCCCCGGGTCCTGGGGCTCCCCGCCACCCCTTGCCTGCCTGTGTGTGCCCCTTGAGGTGAAGAGGGGGCAGAAGAGCAGGGTTGGGGGAGAGGCCTGTATGTTTCGCAGCTAGGGGTGGGGGGTCTGCAGCCACCAGCTGCCCCCCTTGGCCAACTCTTCACCCTTCTCTCACCCCACTCCAGGTCGAAATGAGTTGATTGCACGCTACATTAAATTGAGGACCGGGAAGACTCGGACAAGAAAACAGGTGGGGAGAGGATGCGTGCTCCATGCCATCTGCCCACGCGTGCGTGCTCCCTCAGCTGCCCCCTTCAGCCCCTCCCTGTCCCCCTTCCTCTCCCGAGGGACCGCACGCTCCCCGGGCTGCTCTTCCCGCGGTCGTAGAGAAAGGGGCACTGCCCTTTGCGACCAGCCACCACCCTGCCCGGGGCCTTGGGTTCAGTGACCAGAGATGAGCCCCGTGGGGCAGCTGCAGCCTGGTGTGGTCACGGCCCGAAGTGGTGCCCCGACCAGCCGGTGGCAATGACCCACGAGGGCAGAGCAGGGCGGCGTGGCCCAGCCGAGGGTGAGTGTGTGCTCTCAGCCAGGGGTTGAAGCTGGACCCGGCAGGGCAAGGGGGGAAGGGGCTGCCAAGCCTTTCTGGAGGAGGTAACACCCAAGATGCATTTTTAAGGAGGAATTCGGGGTTTAGCCCGGCAGGGAAAAGGGGAGAAGTTCTTGAGGAAGTCGGATATACATAGAATCCCTGGGAACCCACATGGGGCTTACGTTCTATGAATCCGTGTATTCCTCACAGCAACTTCGGGAGGTAGGTCTAATAATTATCTCCATCTTCCGGATGAAAACATGGAGGCAGGGGGAAGTTAAGTAACTTCCTCAAGGTCACTCGGCTGCTAGGTGGTGGATCCAGGATTGAACCCACTGGGCAGGAAAGAGCCATCTGTCAGCAGTGTGGGGGCTGGAGAGAGGGGTGGGAAGAGCTGAGGACAGGGAGAGAGGTTGGCCGGAGGCCTGAGGGACAGGTTTCCCCTCGGGGCAGCTGGGTGCCATGGAAGGGACTAGAACAGGGAGTGGCGGGTGGCATCTGTCGAGGAATGTTGGCCCTGGAGCAGCTGGGCCATGGATGAGGGAGGGCCGGGCAGAGGCAGGGACGGAGGTCCCCAGCGGCAGTGGGGGCATGGAGAGATGACTGGGTGGCTTCCGGTCCCGGGAGGGAACCCAGAAAGGGGGCTGGTTGGGGTGGCTGACGTGCGGGGTGCCCCAGAGAGAGGCAGGCTGGGCACAGAGACCCGAGGACTGGAAGCCGCCTCTGATCCTCGGCTCTCCCAGCCTCCCTGTCTGCTGGGGTTTGGACCTTGCACCCACCTCCAAGATCCCCATGTGTGCGGATGACAGAGGCGCCATGCCCCATTCTGCCGTCTCAAAGGCAGGTTCCGAGTCCACCCCCTCTGTGGGAGCAGGAGCCTCCCCCATTTGCTCAGGCATTTATGAACCTCTCTCCCGGGGCCAGTTTATGTGGGACAGATTTATTCAGTGAGCGAATTCTATTTATTTACTTGTTTGTTGGACAGAGAGAGAGATAGCGAGAGCGGGAACACAAGCAGGGGGAGTGGGAGAGGGAGAAGCAGGCTTCCCGCAGAGCAGGGAGCCGATGCGGGGCTCGATCCCAGGACCCTGGGACCGTGACCTGAGCTGAAGGCCGACGCTTAACGACTGAGCCGCCCAGGCGCCCCGCAGTGAGCGAATTCTTGAGCTACGACTGTGTGCTAGGCACTGGGGCTACCCAGGGGAACCCAACAGACAGGGGCCCTGTTCCCTGGCGCCTGGGACTGTAGGAGGAGGGCTGATGAATCAAACCCCCAGGTACAAATACCCTCACCCCTACTTGTGGGCAAGGGGTGCTTTGCCCCTCAGCTTCTGGTCCTCGGCCATTAAATTAGCTAAGCGCTATAGAAGAATGTACCACTGCTATTGTGATTATTACTACGTCTTAATAAACAGAAAGCCAGGGCGCCCGGCCGGCTCAGTTGGTAAAGTGGACGACTCTTGATCTAAGGGTCGTGAGTTTGAGCCCCACATTGGGTGTAGAGCTTACTTAAAAAAATAAAGCCTTAAGAAAAATTAGATAGGTAGGTAGGTAGGTAGTAAGACAAGATAGACCCATCTTATGTTTGTGAGGGCAAAGCATGTCTTTATGTGTTGCAAAGAGCAACCAGATGACAGGCAAGGGTTTCTATTTTACTTTTGGTTAAAAAAAATGCAGTGTTAGGGGTTTTACAGATACGTACAGCAATAATAGCAAGTGTGATGCCTCCGTACTGGAAAAACAGCTCAATATTACATTAGGATTAAGTCCCATGTGACTTTCAGCTGTCACAGACTTGACCATTTGGCAGTGGTCCTCTGTGCTAAGGGTCAGAAGAATCCTGGGAGCGTAGCTTGGTGGTGGAGCAAGTAGGCTCGGGAGTCAGGCCACCTAGGTTCAAATCCCAGCTCCAGCCCCCAGCTGTGTGACCTTGGATAAACTGCTTAACTTCTCTGTGTGCTGGTTTCATCATCTGTAACTTGGGGGATAATGTTAGTACTGACTTCTTAGTAAGGGTCAGAGGAGGTACATGTAAAATCATAGCTACTCAATAAATGTCACTGCTTGTCATGATATGCAGTGATGGGTAATCTTGCTGGACAGACGTCTGATTCTGGTGCCCGATGAGACGGTATGGGGCACATCCACCTGGGTCCTAACCAACTAGCAGGGGGCCCCGGGGCATCACATACACAGTAACTTTCGGTCTATGATTAAAAAGAAAAAGAAACTGTGTGGGGATAAAAACAACTTGCAAAGAAAGCCCACAGCCATTGTGGATCATGAGTGTGAAGCAGCCTCGGGGAACCATGTGTGCCCTCCTGTTTCGTGGGGAAAATAGGGACATTTAGGTTCTCTGAGGCTTAAGGGTCAGACCTTTGACAATGTGCTGGAGAAGAACTGCTATTAAGAGCACCTACCTTGTGTGTGTGTGTGTGTGTGTGT